AAACCATCTTAACTCTACTCTGGGAGTTCGAAGGTCTTCATTCTGAAGAGTTATGACGTTTCATAATGAAAGGCGAGTTTCTTTGGAAGTCGCGAGGTTGGTACCCATTCGGACAACCAGAGCAGTAATTCTATTAAGTACGTGGAATGTTCGAACAATGTGGGAGACCGAAAGACAATTCCAAGTTGCTACCGAGATGAAGAGATGCAAACTGAAGGTGCTTGGAATCAAATAAACGGCGAAGAATAAAAACGGAAAGCGTCGAAAGTAATTATCAGATAAAAGTCTATTAAGTTATATTATGTCAACGAGGGGACATGGGTATGAAAAATTTCTTCTGAACACAAACTTAAGTTATAAGTTCGAATTCCTATAACTTGTGTTATTACGTAGGAGACGGGGTCGGATGTTTGAGGTTTTCAGTAGATCGCTTGAAATGATCCGGTTCTATTGACAATATAATCACTATCAATCAGGTGTGCGAAGGAGGGACAGTGTGCTGCCTTCGTTTGGATTTTTTGAAACCATGCTTGGAAATGTTCACTCTCTCATTGGTTGGGCTGCTTGTTAGTATGCCCAGTTTGAATATTCATGTATAATAGCAAACAGTTCAAGAATGGTAATCTCATGATATTTTCTGTTTAAATGAGAAATAGTGATAGGATAGAACATCTTCAACCACATGAAGAAAAACACAAATTTGGATGAACTTGGTCTTATGATAAGCGTGTAGTGAGTACTTCCATGTCTAGTTCACAGAGTTCGTCCCACTTGTCTTTTAACCTGGTCAGTCATTCGTTTATATCTGCGTTACTTTTATTCGTGTATGTGCTCGTTTATTACAATGCCTGGCTTATTTTTGTCAGACTATAAATTCTTAATCATGCCTCATCGAATTGAACTGGCTCTCTCTCTCTCCACTTCAACTCACTTTACTTGTATACTTTTTGTTATCATGTCTGCATGAATATTTGTCTGCAAAAAAATTCATCCAACCGAATCCGTATTCAAGCTTTTTGTTACCGCTGTCGCACAAACGCGGTTCACCTAAGTATAGTATATGGAAAGTGATAGAGAGATTTATTTCATAGTATATTTAAATGTTCACTAATACTGGAGCTAGATCGCGCGCCACCAAAGTAGTAGTGAGCCTTACATCGAATCAAATACCGCAACATGTGAAATAGTGCTCATCGATGAATTGTCGACTGGCTCATAATAAGACCTGATGATCCTAGGTTTGATACTCAATCGGGGTTAGTAGGTGTGCACTCACGAGAAGTTCCAACCTAGAATGAATCATGTTCAGTGTCGTTGTTTTTATGAGGAAACATCAATATTTTCATGAAATGAAATAGATTGCCTCATTCATGACGTACCTACGAACAATCAGTATCGCTCAACTTTTCCTGTTAATACTGGCTTTAAAAGTTATAGCCCTGGCTTCTTATTTCTAGTTATTCCCAACTGCTATTCATCTTTTAGATATCTGCCTCCGATTCACGGTGCAATGTGTTCGTTGGTCTCCTTTGGCTTTCAGAAATCCAATCTGATCCTTTCTCGTGACGTGATTGAGCGCTCTAAGCAATGTATGTCCTATCTACTTCCAGCGCTTTTTCTTAACTTCTTCTCCAGAGTCAATGTGGTTTGTTCTCTCCCACAGAAGATTGGTGTCTATGGTTTTTGGTCAACAGATCCATAGCATCTTACGTAAAGAACTGTATAGTGTATTTTAGTCGGTGCACATTGTGTTGTCTGTGGGAGAGAACTAACCAGATACCCGCGGAACAAGAAACCAGGAAGAAGCTCTGGAAGTGGATAGGGCTTACATTGCCGAAAGCACCCAACTGCATCACAAGACAAGTCTGTTAGGATAATCATCCAATATCCTAACAGAATTTTTGGCCAATTCCTATTGGTTAATTCCTACTGGTCACTTTCATGATCGTCCTAAATATCATTGTCACGTGCTCCAATGTTATTTCTTATTGGTCATTCGGACTATCAATGTCATTTCAAATGTTGCTCCCTATTGATCATCTTAACTGTCATTGTCAGACTTCGATGCTGTTTCCTATTCGACCAAAATGTATAAATACCCATTAACTGTAACTTTTATGACCAGGACCCGGACCCGGACTCGGATCCATAGTCCGGGATCTTGATTCTCTTCTGGACTCGAACCTCGTACTTCTGGATGCTTTTAGAATACAGGTTCTACTTCATATCAAGTCTTGTCTTATTTTCACTCAATATGCGGGTTGGGATAATCGGATTTGACTAGCATGTCGTGTCGCCGGATCCTCGATCCTGGCTCTCGTTTTCCGACTAGGTAGACTCGTAATAGTTCAAGCATATACCGAAATGACGTGTTTACGTGCAGGCGTAACAAGGCCTACACTTGTAACCCTCAAGGTGAACGGAGAAGATGAAGTCCAAGGAACACGTCACGCCGAGAAACGGAGACAGACATGAGAAGAATGAACAAATATTGGATAGAACTGTAAAGGAGGGGCCAGGATAGGGAAGGTTGTAGAATGCTGGTTGGTAGCCTATACTGCATATCGTGTTGCATCTAAACGTCTTACTTTTTTGTTTTTACAAAATGCCTAACTCATTATCCATTTATCTAACAAAAACTCTAAACCAATGGACAAATAAGTGAATAATTCACGGAGTTGCGCAACCTCATACACAGTCTTCGGTAGTCAATGTCTACACACGAACAGGTTGAACTTCACTGGTCACGTCTTCCCACTAGAACTCGGCGAAGATTATTCCTCACGAAGCTAGTCACTAATGAGCACAGGTAATTTGTATGACGGGGTTGTGAAGATTGTTAAGTTACACATTTTTTGAAACTGCTGAGGAGTCCCATCCCAGGACGAAACGGCCGTCTTTCAGTGCTTCCAGGTTTCTAATGGTGGTCTAACATTGATCGAATCATGGTTTCAAAAATGTGTAACTTAACAATCTTCTTACAAACCCGTAATGCAAATAAGTGAATAGTTGAACTCAATAAATAGTTAAATGAATAACATGTTTAATGTTCGAAGTAAGACTGTACGAATCGTGGAACAAAAATCAATACTAGGATGCACGTATTTATTCAACTGACTAGTCTCATGTAGATTAAAAACTTCATCTTTGCTAATCATCACATTCCTCTTTGTTTTTGTCCTGAGACAAAAAACACACGTACTAAAATGTTACATATTCTCATGTTAATTTATTGATTTATTATTAGAGCAAATGGTTAATTTTTTCTTAAGCAGAGCACACTACATTACTTTCATTCATGTAGGTGGAAAGAAATAAAACCAATGGTGACATGTAATAAACGTTAGTTCATGTGAAAAAAAAATAAATTACGGTATATTTTATCAAATTTCCAAATTCATTCAAGGATAATATTTCTGAAAATGGGTGCGCTGCATGAAAATCACTTACTTACTTACTTACTTACTAACTTACTTACGACTGTTACACCCAATCGAGCATGGGCCGCCGCCCACCAGTTTTCTCCGATCAACTCTGTCCTGGGCTTCCCCCTCCAGTTCTGTCCAATGTTTGTTCATTCCTCTCATATCTTTCTCTATTTCTCGGCGAAATGTATTCTTTGACCTTCCTCTTTTCCTTTCACATTGATGGTTCCATGTGAGGGCTTGTCTCTTGACGCAGTTAGGTGCTTTTCGTAGTGTGTGTCCTATCCACTTCCGCCACTTCTTCCTGATTTCCTCCTCCACTGCTATCTGGTTTGTTCTCTCCCACAGTTCGTTGTTGCTAATGGTGTCTGGCCAACGAATCCGAAGTATTTTGCGTAGACAACTGTTAATAAACACTTGTATCTTCTGCATGATGATGGCTTTGGTAGTTCTGCAAGTTTCCGCTCCATACAGTAGAACTGTCTTGACATTTGTATTGAAAATCCTGATTTTGGTTTCGGTTGAAGCTGCATGAAGATAGTACATGATTAAAATCAGTGAAGGGAAGAGTATAAATTCGATGAACTGAATAATCATCATCTCTTCTTCACATATCACACTAGTTTACTCACTTACTTACCCTTAATGGAGCACACAGTACACCCAACCGACACTCTACAACCAACTCTGTATTCCAATTATTCCCAATTGTGATTCATTTTCGTCCCGTCTGCTTCCAATTATCGGCGCACTGTGTTCTTTGGTCTTCCTGTTTTTCTGTCACGTTGACAATTCTAAGTTAAATCTTACCTTGTGACGCAGTTGAATGTTTTCTCAAATGTATATCCTATCGACATCCATCGTTTCTTCCTAATTTCTTGCTCAGCTGGAGTCCAGTTTATTCCCTCCTAAAGTAGGTTGTTGCTATTGGTATCTGGCTAACGAATCCGTGGTATCTTGCGTAAAAAACTATTAATAAATACTTGTATCTTGTAGATGATGACTTTGGTAGTTCTTAAAGCGTTTTCCCTTGTATCTGTTGAGGCTTACTGCAGAAGCGGTTGACATTAATAATGGGAATGTAACGTGATAAGTTTGAATCGTCTTTTTGTTGAAAAAAATTGATCTTCAATAATAATACTGTTTATGAATTTTCATACAGGAACCTACAAATTCATTTGCTCAATGATCAAGAATTTAAGCATTCACAAACAAGACGAAAGGTCATTGTTCCGAATCCTGCATGTATAGGTTTTGACTGTGCATTGTTGATGAGTCTTGTACTAAGACAAAACATTTATCCAATGGTTTCTACATATCATCCATAAATGATTGAACATTGATCAGCGTTGCATGGTTTTCAATGTTCAATTTTTTTGTATTTTTAACCAATAAATGATGCTTACTTACTCGTTTATTTGTTTTAACTCTTCTACATGTTTACATAAGTCTGTATAAATAAATAGATCAATCAATCGAAATTTGTGTAATTCCAGAATATAAAAAAATTTTCTTTTTATATGATGAAACATTGAAAATTATTGAATTATTTAACGCTTCATCTTGTCGACACTAATGATTTATAATCTACGGGTTCATTATACAATTACTGTATGGTTTCTAATTGTACATTATGTAAATGGCGGTAAGTTCAAAATTCAGATGAATGAGATACCTCTCGTTGTCATTTTAAATATATTATATCCTGTATATGTAATTTTATAGTATGCGTACACTAATATATGTCAAGCCTACAAAGCTTGTCCCAGCCTCCCGTTATTTAACACGTCTTTTGACTTAGGTGAATGATTCACTTATAACATTTGGTTAGGGCATTCCTCGTGATGCGATTAGGGTGATTTCTACAATGTATGTGTGTTCCCTATTCACTTAAACAATGCCTTTCGCCTAATTTCTTCCTCAGTTGGAGGACAATGGTTTCTTCTCTGCCCCATAGTAGATTTTAACTTATATGTCATTTAATCGTTTCGCTTATACGATTAACTAAACAATGTGTGTCATTGTAATCTCACAACTGTTTTGATACACATTTTAATTGAGATTTTAAAAAAAATTGCACAATAGTTTTTGCCATGTTTTGGTTAGTGCTTTTTTAAATAAGTTGGCTTTCTACGGGATGGGATCGCTAACCCCATCATCCGCAACCCTCCTCCTTAATTCGGGCTTTGGATTGGCAGTAACCATCGGAAGACTGCAGGAGGAGTTACTATTGTGATGGTGTTTCGTTCTCTCAGCTGGATGTGGTTTGGTTGTGAAGCTTTCATTGTTCTTCTTCTGAACAATATCATCAGCACAAACTTAAGATAGAAGTGGACTATTCAAATTTCTCCACATTTGACCTGTAGCTTGTTCTGCTAACCTCGATCTTGATTGGTTGTTGTTGACCTTGAATCTGTCATCGTTTGCCCCTTTATTTTGATTGTATCCTCCTTTTGACCTGTTTCTTGATCCTGCGTCATCTATGATTTTTCTGATTGGTTGATAAATTGGGTCAATGTTGATGTGTTTGTTGATTGCTGATTGATCTGAAAGCAAAGATTCTGAAAATTCTCCTGTGTTCTTTATCCTCCCCCTATCCAGTATTTCCACATTGTTCCAATCGAATGTAGATTAAGAATTGTCAGTGTGTATTGATATGAGCGAAGAGTTGTCGTGACGTTTGACTGCTAACTGGTGTTCACGTAAACGAAGATGAAAAGTAGGTCCACTTTGTCCTATATAGTGTTTTTCACAGTTTGAGCAATTTATTTTGTAGATGATATTTGGTTTTTCTTCCTTTGCCATTTTGTCCTTTGGTGTCTACACAGGATTGATTGAAGTGATTCTGTTGGTTTGTGTGCCACACCTATTCCCAATGGTTTCAGTAGTCGTGCTGTATGTTCCGATATGTCTTTTATGTACTGTAGGATAATCCGTTTATTGGTTCCTGTACTTGATTTCGCTTCTATTGACGATTTCAGTCGATGTTTTTTGATGAAGTTGCGTGAATAGCCTTTCTTTGGAAGCTAGTCACCATCATAGTCTCCACCATCTCAGGAGTGAATATTTTTGCAATGGATAAATTTTATTATTTTGTTTTACAAATCATTGTTCATGCACAAAATTGAACATTGAATAGTACAATGGCATCATGTTCATAAAATAGTTTAGAAGAACAATAGTATGTTATGTGAATTTTTAATCGTTACACACAGTTTTATGATCTTTGCGTCAAAACCTTTGAGTCACTTATCTTTTAACTCTTACAACTATTTTAATCATCCGAATCTGAAACAACTGGATGGTCGTTTCGTGCTACTACAGGAATCCTCAACAGTGTGCATGCATGACCTTCGCGCATAGGAATCGAACCCAGGATCTTTCCTCTAGAGGTTAAGTATCCCCTCGCGAGATCGAAGGTCCTAAGTTTAACTACCAGTGCATGGAAGTCATGGATTCACACTGACAACAAGTATCATATTGGGACGAAACGTCCGTCAAGTGGTTCCAGGTTTCAACTAATGATCTAGCGTAGATCAATTCGTGATTTTAACTATAAAAACAATACAATCTTCGCTCCATTAATATTATAATGTTTGTTTCACTCTGAAATGTTGGGGATGTTAGATACCCAGAACTCGCTCGATAAATATCTTTATTTTGGATTTATTTCATGGACCGATCAGTTGACCTTGAGATCACATTTTCCAACAGGAAAATCCTTTGCTGTGTCATTTTAGTGTGCTATCTTTGTGACTTTCCAAAGGACGTCTCTATAGAGTATAAATAAACACAATCTGAGTGCTTGGATTCATTGTGTGCTGGCTGAGTGTTTTTAGAATAAACTTTCTACGCTATATCAAGAATTCCTGTTGATTCAATTTGGTCAAGGGATCACAGATACTGTCAGCAACAATTTACTGTGGGAGAGAACAAACCAGATTCCAATGGAGGAGGAAATCAGGAAGAAGTGGTAGAAGTGGATAGGATACACACGGCGAAAAGCGCCTAACCGCGTCACAAGACAAGCCCTTACACGGAACCCTCAATGTGAAAGGAAAAGAGGAAGGTCAAGGAACACATTACTCCAAGAAATAGAGAAAGACATGAGAGGAATGAACAAACATTGGACAGAATTGGAAAGGGAAGCCGAGGTCAGAGTTGGTTGGAGGATACTGGTGGGCGGCCTATACTCCTTTGGGGGTAACAGGCGTAATTAATTAATTAATCAACTAAGTAATCACAAGCACTTTACTTTCCACCTAATATTTCTTTTATTCACAGATGTGTATTTTTTTAGAAATTAATTTTGACCTCGCTTTTTTGTTTAAAGATAGATGATTCAGATAATGTTCCTTTTCTTTTCCGAGCTAACTAACGTACCCTTTGCATAAACGTACGCATATAAATTGCATAGACCGAGATTTCTGAATACACAACGAGAGTAATCCTTTTGGGATTTTTGGTCTGAGCTCAATGAAAACACTTGAAATTACGGTATTCGAGTAGATGATAGGTCTGATTTCTATCATCCACATAAGTTAGCTAACAAGGTCACTTCTATAACCTAAATCTACCATAGGGAGACCTTAGACTGGATTATGCAACCAATATATTTTATTTCATTGATTTTCAAATTATTCAATGTTCAATAATTATCATATTTTTAATATTAAAATTATTTTAGCTGGATTACTATGGGATGACGTTAGTGAGTTTATCAAACTTTATATTTATATATGATTATCATGTTTGGGATTATGGAGATTATCGATTTTTCATTGAAATCATGAATCGATCAAAGTTAAATGATCATTGAGGAACCTGGAAGTACTAGACAGCCGTTTCGTCCTAGTATGGGATTCATCAGCAGTCAGTCAATCAGATGCAACGTAGAACTTCGTACGTGTAAGTACGTACATCAGTTCATGTTGCCACATACCACATCAGCACAGAGAGATGTAATTGTCAATTCAAATCCAATAGTAGAAGAGGTAGTAAGGGAATTAGAAATAATCGGAGAGGTTAGGATTAGAAGATATTATTCAAGAAATATGATTCAGTGAGAAAAGTTTAGAAAGTCAAAACTAGAGTTGTTGCAGAACCCAGAAGATTAGGATTTGAGAGAACACAAAGAGTGGATGCACCTGCGCCATTGCAATCGGTTTTGAGCCATGTCATTCAAGGTCTCTAACCATCGATTATTATCATATAGTGGACCCCAACCAGGTAGTCGACAATTACCGACATGGCTAAGTCCAATCGTCAATGACTTCATGGATTTCTGCCATGTTTTGATTTGGCCACCCCTAACTTTCTTCCAACCTATTCCTACACTACAAAACAAGGCTCGACGTGGCAGTCGGTGGTTGGGCATACGCAACACATGTCCCAACCACCTCAACTGATGAAGTTTCAGCACTTCATCTATTGATCTGCCATTCTTACCTAGCACCCGTTTCCTAATAACAGCGTTGCTCACTCAGGTGTCCCAGGATATACGAGCAATGCTTCGAAGACATCTATGATCGAAAACCAGTAACCTACGAATATCTTCAACTCTCACTGGCCATGTTTCACAGCCATAAAGTAAGACGGAGCGCATCCACGATGATATCAGTTAAAACTTCAAACAAATAAATGAAAGTTAACTTCATAATCCGACAAAAACCAAACCATATTTTTACAGCTTTATATGAATTAAACAAATTTAAAATAATGCTTTTAGGACGTTTGAATGAAATTCAATGCCCAATGAAAGTGATAACATGTATCTTTAAAATAATTGAAGGAATATTGTTTGTATTTCGTTTTTAAAATGCTTTAAATCTGTTAACAAAAATGTAAATGTGTCATGTTTTGTCAGCTAAATTACAAGCAATAACGACACCTGATATGAAATATCTTTGAGAATACTTGATGTTAATCAGCTCACAGTCAAAGATGTTAGTATAGAGTATGGGAGTTTTTCAACCCTCTGAACATCAACATTCTTAATCCTAATTCATAACTTTCATCAAACTTCTTAAGCTTACCTTTTCATTGTTAAATGAAAAACATGAATTATGTCAAAACTAGTTATCGATCGTAATGTTCATGATTAATTGTTTCATGACACAATAGTGTCTTCATCAGTTGAGATGGTTGGGACATGTGGTTACGTATGTCCAACTACCAACTGCCTTGTCGAGCTATATTTTGTGGTGTAGGATTAGGGGCAGAAATCCATCAAGTCACTGACAACTGGAGTGAGCCATGTTAGTTGGTGTAGACTACCTGGTTGAGGTCCGCGAGATGGTAGTAATCGATGGTTAGAGATCTTAAATGATATGACTCAAAATTGTTTGCAATGGCGCAGGTGAATCCATTCTTTTTGTTAGCCCGAATTCCAATCTAAACTCCACATTACCTCCATATTTCTCGTCTTAAATCTATTTCACCGGATTATACTTTTTCGAATCGTGATCTTTCCGATTACTCTTTCTACTTCTACTACATCTATCATTATGGAATTCGAATTGACAATTGCGTTTCTGTGCTAATGTGATATGGCCACTTGAACTGATGTACGCACGTAAGTACGTACGAAGTTCTACGTTTTAACTGACTGACTTTCTTCTGGTTAACTAGTAAATCATTCAAAGTTTTCAGTCTAATAAAGTTAAACTTCTGTCATAGTGTTAATGATATACTCACACAAAAACATTAATACAAAGAGTCCCCGAAATATTGATACACAACACAAATTATTGAATCAGTCATTAGACCGGCTGGGATATTGTTCAGACGCCCGAACCGAAGCATATGGATTTCTAACGATGTAGTTTCTTGAGCCTTAGACCGAAATGTCTTATCCACAAAGCAACGGAGCAACATAAGGAGACCCATTGCTATAGTAGTCGCTAACAGACAGTTTATTGATACACTATTCGTTCCACGAGGATCCTGGAATCTATGTGCAGTAATCTGTTAGTATAAGTGTTTTCAAACTCCCATAGATGGATCCTCTGTACTCATAACTTAGACGTAGTTCCCCTCCACATACTCACTTTTCGACCTCTTGACTTCATAAACAAAATATTCGGCATGAAAATTCAGTAAGTAGGACTTCGTTGTGGTTGCTATAAACGCATGATTAAATGGCAGCATTTCGAGAGAGAGATAGGAATTTTCCCATATTAATTCATACCAGGACGCATATGGTGTCTCAAATATAATTTATATTACATAAACAAATAATCGATAATATTTGATTCAATTTATTTGTCATTCACAGTTATTATATGTCTTTATTTGTGTATTCGTGAGAATAAATTTTGAAAAAATTCTATTTACGACCTTTTCAATAGAATTATATCATGAACTACTCAAAACTGATCACATATTCAATCTATTCGATAGTATAATGCTCCATATAATCGTGAATAATATCGAGATATTGATCTATCTATCTTAAAAAATAATCATTCCATGTCAAGTACTATACTATACTGTAGTGCCTCCACATATATTCGAGAGTTCGTTTACATTTATTTTGGTTAAGCCCTTTCGATTAATTTTTATTTAACCAAGCCATTTGTATTGCAACAATTTATATGTACCATTCGTTCTTATTATTGTCTGGTTTGTATGAAGAGCTCATATGACGTGTCCCACTTGTCATCTGACCTTGTCAACTATTCGTCGCTTTCATTCATGTGTGCCTATTTCCCTTGTCACATGTCTGTCTTATAGTTATCTGACTATATATTCTTAGTCATGCTCTATCTCTTGGAGTTGGCCCATTAGCCTTCTCCACATCGCTTCCTTTGCCGATTCGTTCGCATTGTAATCCTTCGAGTTGGCTCATTAGCCTTCTCCAATTCATGTCACTTCATTCGTCTTATTCACTGCTTCTCCGCTTCACTTTGTGGTGTGTCCCAAATAAACGTATTCATCATCACTACGAGTTCACCTTCTGATTTATAAACCGTCAGACACTATTTAGTAACGATTGTCTGGACGAGCTAATCACGACGAGCTTAAGAACACGCAGTCAATCGACACACTAAAATACCATTTCACTTAGACAAATGGTTTGAAGGTAGACAAATGTCCAGTTTTGCTCATTTAGAGTGTCATGAAAATGGTGGTTTTATTTTGAAATTTATGAAAAAATCATTACTTGACCATCATTAGAAACCTGGAAGCACTGGAAAGCCGTTTCATCCTGGTATAGGACACATCACCGTTGGATGCAAGCTCAGTGGTCCATAAGTTAGGTGTTCGCGCTCAAAACCGACGGTCCTGAGTTGGAATCCTGTAAGGTGCTGAAGTCGTCGATGCGAACCGCTGACAAGTCCCATACTAGGATGAGACGGCCATCCAATGCCTCAAGTTTTTCTAATAGTAATCTAACAATGATTCATTCATGATTTCACGGCAAAACTATCATTTGTTGTCTTCAGTTTCTTCTCAAGCTTTCTTCTGTAGCTAAATGACATCAGTTTGTAGTGTGTCGATTTTCTGCGTGTTCTTAATGTTCGTGATTAGCTCGTCCATACAATGGTTATTAAATAGCGTCTGACGGTTTAGAAATCAGTAGGTGATCTCGTAGTGATGAATAAGTTTATTTGGGACACACCACAAAACGAAGTTGAGAAGCAGTGAATAAGACGAATGAAGTGACGTGAATTGGAGAACGCCGTTGAGCCAACTCCTAGGATTACAATGCGAACGAATCGGCAAAGGAAGCGATGTGGAGAAGGCTAGTGAGTCAACTCCAAGAGATAGAGCATGACTAATAATATATAGTCAGACAAATATAAGACAGACATGTGACAAGGGAAATAGGCACACATGAATGAAAGCGATGAATAGTTGACAAGGTCATATGACAAGTGAAACACGTCATGTGAGCTCATACAAACCAGACAATAATAATAAGAACGAATGGTACATATAAATTGTTACAACACAAAATGGCTTGGTTAAATAACTTAATCGAAAGGGCTTAACCAAATTAAATGTAAGCGAACTGGAAAATATGTGGAGGCACTACAAGTTCATTTTACTATAGAGTAGTAGCATGTTATGAAATATTCTCGATGGTGAAAATCAAACCTTAATAAAATGGCAGTTGATCACTCTCCACAACTTCAAAACCCAAAGACATCTTTTTCCGCAACACTACATTTTCGATATCATTGTACTGATTATTTGCATTACTGACAAGTGGACTGAGTCATGTCGGTAATTGTCGACTACCTGGTTAGGGTCCGCGAGATGATAATAATCGATGGTTAGAGACCCTGAATGACATGGCTCAAAACCGTTTGCAATGGCGCAGGTGCATCCACTCTTTGTGTTCTTTCAAATCCTAATCTTATGGATTCTTCAACACCTCTAGTTTTGACTTTTCTCACTGAATCATACTTCTTGAATGATATCTTCTAATCCTAACCTCTCCGATTACTTCCAATATACCTTTACTACCTTTACTACTACTATGGGATTTGAATTGACAATTACATCTCTCTGTGTTAATGTGGTATGGCAACATGAACTGATGTACGTACTTACGTACGAAGTTATACGTTGCATCTCACTGACTGACTTATTTGCATTAAACATAAATGTACTGTAACAATTTCACTTTTTTTGATTTCAAACATATTTGTTTTGCTTCGTTTATTTATTTCTATTCAGCTACAGGTAAATTAATTTTCTCTGTTTTATAAAACATTTTATTTTCGTGTTTTACATAGTTCGATAGTATACTATCCTGACAGGTTGTATATTCATTGTAGATTGATCCTAATTAGTCAACTAATGACAATCATAGTTCACCAAACACATCTATGGAATAATTGTCTCTAATAACCTTGAATGTTTATTACTCTCTCTAAACATCATGAATTGGTTTCCGTTTTCGATTGTATCAAACAACTTTAAATCAATGAATGATTCTGCCATTTGATTGTTTCAAGCAAGATTTGAAAATTTTGAGTTCTACTCTGGATGACATTTTAGTTGTATACTGTTGAGAAGATCTAATACCAAGATAGAACAAATGTCTCCAGTGCAGACCCTTCGGAGCTACTACCGGTCCCAAGCCTGGATAAAGGAAGAGGCTTGGGCTAGGGGTTGTCGACCTTATCCCGCCAAAAAAACTAACTCGCTTAAAAAAACATCAACCAGAACAAATAATTCAATTTTAACCCGACTGATATTAACTTACTCATGAATCGACCGGCTCCACTGAACCCATTCAACATCGAAGCAGCATCTACGGACCTTCCAATCGATGTTGGCGTACCTACAATTGAAGTAATCAGCATGGCCACTAGACAAATCAAGAGCGGCAAAGAAGCAGGACCAGACAACATTCCAGCAGAGGCAATGAAAGCAGACGTGGAAGCAACTGCAAAAATACTTCATATTCTCTTGAACAAGATTTGAGATGAGGAACAATGAAAGGCAATCCAGAAGATACAAGTGTTTATTAACAGTTGTCTTCGCAAAATACTTCGGATTCGTTGGCCAGACACCATCAGCAACAACGTACTGTGGGCGAAAACAAACTAGATTCCAGTGGAGGAGGAAATCAGGAAGAAGCGATGGAAGTGGATAGGATACACATTGCGAAAAGCACCGAACTGCGTCACAAGATAAGCCCTCACATGGAACCCTCAAGGCAAAAGTAAAAGAGGAATGCCAAGGAACGCCGAGAAATAGAAAAAAATATGAGAAGAACGAACAAATACTGGAAAGAACTAGAAAGGCAAGCCAAGGACTGAGTTGGTTGGAGAATACTGGTGGGCGGCGGCCTATACTCCAATGGGGGTAACAGGTGTAATTAAGTAAGATAATAACTTGGGCTGAAAATTACTTAACATTGAAAAGAATCTTCAATACTTATGTACACGAATTGGATAGAATTTAAACAAAATACTGTTTTAAACAAACAAAATTCAATGAAAATACAAAGATTTAAATTAGGAAATGTGATGTAGATAGATACAGAAGAATTTGCCAGTTCTATCGGTCGCTATTTACGTTAGTCTTTCACAAAGTATCTGACTGTGAAATTTAAGATACTTACTGAGTAATACTCTACCAGTTAGATACAGCATTATGTGAGTATGGATAGTGTCAATAAGACTCTTCTTGTACATCGAGATAGAGATGCCAACTTACTTCACATTTAAAATACTTACTCTTCCTAAAAGTTTGTATCATTCGGTTTTGGACAATGTAAACTGAGTTCAGATATATGTCTTCTATTTATGCACATAAATATCAGTACAACTGTGGCATCTAAATATTTGTGCACCATAAAAGTTATTGAATTTGTGAATAGACTGGCTGACATACTGTCCGGAGTTAAAAAATCGAAACATATGGCTTTCATAGAGGACCGTTCCATGAGTCTTACACATAGAAGTCTCATCCGCACGGCAGTGTGATGACGTAATAAAACCCAGTTCCTTGGTAGCAGTAGGTCATCAACAATAGATTCAAACGCCATTTGTGCACTCAAAATTCTGGAAGCCATTTACACCGATGGTTTGAAATGAGGGTTTTCCAACTTCATTGAGTCGATCCTCTATACCCGCCAAACTGGTTCAGGTTCCCATCGGACACTTGCATTATGACCTGTCAATTTTGTGAACATTAAGTTCTCTATTTATGATATTCAGTGACACTATACCGCCGTATTGCAAGACGAACACCGATTTCTCCAAGAGTGCACATTTTTTTTGATAACCTCCAACCAGCATGATACCACGACACACACCGAGCTCCATAACTGCTAAATAGTTTACCACAAAATTCATTTCCTCTCATTTGATGCTTATATACTTAAAAACTATCAATTGTCGATTTCAACTGGCATTTAGTGACAAGTTAACAAATAATGACTGGCGTTTGTTTGTCTAATTTTCTCTCGGTTTACACCATGCTTGATTTCTGTAGAATCCACCACCCCAAAAATGAAACGTAAGTTTATCATTTTATTGTATCAATCAAAATGTGTGCGTGTTTGCGTTTTTCAATTATTTTCAATTAATTTTAACGCCAATGCAAAACATTGTGTTAGGGAAGTTAGATCCCCAGAACTCACTCACTTGATCAAGGTCCTAATTTTGGATTTAATTCATAGGCTGATCAGTTGACCTTGAGATCGCATTTTTATTGGTTGATGTACCATTTTAGTACGCTATTTTGAAACAACACTAGTAGAGGTAGTCCAAGGTAACTAACTGGTGGCCAACAATAGCTTGATTTGACATCTGTCTTCGGGGAATTCTAAAACCCATCTACAGAACTAGTTTGAAACAATGGTCTTCCTACTCTCCCAGATGGGACTTCCGTACTTACCAGTCGTTGTAAAGTGCTAGAAACTCATATTTCGTCCTCTCAATCTCGTGAACAAGATCTTTGATACTAGAAGGAGGTTTATAGGACTACCGCATATAGTGGTTATATACCCTTAGCCAAATGAGAGCATATAGACACACACAGAGAGAGAGAAAGTGGAATTTCTCTACTCTTGATCATAATTGTTAAACAAGTAGGAATATACACGCAGAATACAAAAAAAACTAGTCTTTACCTACCGCACACACAATAATTCCAAATGTAAGTGACTTCTTCATAAATCAGTGTTACATGTTTGTTTGCACCATTCCCAACTGTCTACCGACCTCTTCCACCATGTGCTCGCTTTGTACCCCCAAATGCTTCCAACACAAGATCTAGATGTTCAGTATCTGATCCTTGATAGGATCTTGAAACAGCTTTCCCAACAAAGCCTGACATACACTGTCATCTTAACTGAAATCATCTACTCATAAATATCAACTTTACATAAAATTACAAACTTTAAAACACTTTTAAAAAAATATAAAACATTAGTAACAAATATTTCCATCGTAAAAAAATTTTTCTAAACTTCATTTCAATTCAATTTAAAATTAGTAACCTATAAAAAAAAATCAAAAATGAGTCATTCTTAAATAGAAAAACTGAAAGAAAAAAACATCATTCAATTTTATTCAATCATCAATATGAAGAAATAATATCGAATAAACAAGTATTCAAGGTACTTACTTGCTTACTTACTTACTAGCTAACTTACTTAATTAGGTATTTATGTAGTGTGCCGATAACTGCGTGTTTCTTAAGCTCGGTTTATAAATCAGATGAACTCGTATTGATGAATACGTTTATTCGAGGCACACCACAAAGCGAAGCGGAGAAGCGAATTGGAGAAGGCTAAGAGCCAACTCTTTGGATTACAATGCAAGCGAACGAACGAAGCGACGTGGAGAAGGCTAAGAGCCAACTCAAAGAGATAGAGCATGACTAAAAATATATAGTCAGACCAAAAATAAGACAGACATGACAAGCGAAATAGGCATGCACAGACATGAATAAAAGCGACCAATGATTGACAAGGTCAAATGACAAGCGATACAAATCATGTGAGTTCATGGGAATATTAAGAGATCAACATTAAAGCGAAAAGGATGAGTAAGCGCGTAGGCGTAAGCAATGCTCGGTTGTACAATCTCATACAAACCAGATAATAAAAAATACCAATGGTACATATGAGTTGTTGCTATACAAATGGCTTGGTTAAATAAATTAATCGAAAGGGCTTAAGCAAATTAAATGTAAGCGGATGCAAATAAATGTGGAGGCACTACATTGACGTTAAAGGCTGCAGACTAGCGTTCTCTAATCCACTCTGTCCTGAGCATTCCTCCTTAGTTCTGTTCATTGGTTGTTCGTTGTTCTCCATTTTACGGCACTGTGTGTTCCTTAGTCGTTGTTCTCTTTTCCGTTGACCTTCAGTATTTCATGTCATGGTTTGTCTTACGACAAACTCGGGTGATCTCCTCTCAGTCAGTCAATCAGTCAGTCAGATGCAACGTAGAACTTCGTACGTGTAAGTACGTACATCAGTTCATGTTGCCATACCACATTAGCATACACAGAGATGTAACTGTTAATTCAAATCCAATAGTAGTAGTAGAGGTAGTAAAGATATTAGAAGTAATCGGAGAGGTTAGGATTAAAAGATATTATTCAAGAAATATGATTCAGTGAGAAAAGTTTAGAAAGTCAAAACTACAGGGGTGTTGAAGAATCCAGAAGATTAGCATTTGAGAGAACACAGAGAATAAATGCACTGGCGCCATTGCAAACGATTTTGAGCCATGTCATTCAAGGTCTCTAACCATTGGTGTTGCTATCATCTCGCGGACCCCAACCAGGTAGTCGACAATTACCGACATGACTCAGTCCACTCGTCAATGACTTCATGGATTTCCGCCATGTTTTGATTTGGCCACCCCTAACTTTCTTCCAACCTATTCCTATACTACAAAACTAAGCTCGACGAGGCAGTCGGTGGTTGGGCATACGCAACACATGTCCCAACCACCTCAAATGATGAAGTGTCACTACTGCGTCTATTGATCTGCCATCCTTACCTAGCACCCGATTCTTACTCTATGTGTGTTCTATTCACTTCAATCGCTTCTTCTTGATTTCTTCCTCAGCTGGAATTCGGTTTGTTCTTTTCTACAATTGGTTGTTGTTGTTGATGGTTTCTGGCCAACGAATCTGAAGTATTTTGCGTAGACAACTGTTAATGAACACTTGTATCTGCTGGATGATGGCTTCGTTAGTTTTCCATGTTTCCACCTCATACACTAGAAATGTCTTGATATTTATTTTGGAAATTCTGACTTTGGTGTTGATTGATAATTGCTTTGGTTTGCTGCAACCTGTAACCCTCATGGGGTTACTGTTAATCACAAGCTCGGATAAAGGAAGGGGGTTGGGCATGGAGTTGATGATCCCATCCTGTAGAAAAATAACTCACTGAAAAGACGCTAACTAGTAATCGGATAACTTCGTAGTTATTTTATTATTTCATTCAACTCCATTGGATAGTCGTTTCGTCCTAGTAGGTGAGTCATCAGTAGTGCGTATCTACGACCTCCGCTCTCAGGAATCGAACCCAAAATTCTCGGTCTCATATGTGAACGTTTAACCTGTTGACCTAGTGAGCCGACATACAACAGGTTTCATGTTTAACTTCAATCAATCCAATGCTTTGCGCAACCTCACCTATTGTGTTTGATAGGTAACTGCCTCACATCCAACAAGAGTGAACTCCACTAGTCATGACTTCTTCTGATGGTAGTCTAATATTGATCGATTCATGATTACTATAAAACACAACAATCTGCACAACTATATAATGAAGAACATTTTATAATTGTTCATTGAAATATTATTGTGGTGCGCGCTACTTATAAGTAGTATATGACGTGAGTGTAAATGTAATGTCTGGCAGCAGAAGATGGGAGAAGATCAAGAGAAAGGAAGAGTGGGAACACAATGGAATTTGTATGAAACGCATGAATAGTGGTGAAATGTCAGACAATGGATTGATGATGGATTGAAGATTTGCAAATTAACCGGTTACGATATAGTTTTCCTATTTTACTGAGTAAATCTGTAATTTTCGTTAAATACAATTCGGTTGCCCTCACCTGTGTTCTCCTTCACTACACTGTCATAATATTTTTACTTCTTGTAACTTCTTCCTTTTTTAGATCAAACAACAACACGTAAGATGGATATTAAATAACATTACGATAATTGAAATTGATTTCCATTCAAATTAATACAAAATCGAACCAATAAAACATGTTTTTTGAAACCATGAATCGATCAATGTTAGACAACCATTAGAAACCTGGAAGCACTGGATGGCCATTTCGTCCTAGTATGGGACTCATGAGCAGTGGTCTAACATTGATCGAGTCATGGTTTCAAAAAATGTGTAACTTAACAATCTTCACAATCCCGTCATGCAAATTACCTGTGCTCACTAGTGACTAGCTTCGTGAGGAATCTTCTCCGAGTTCTAGTGGGCACATATTCCAAAATGGTTAATCAAATCCATGATTCATCAACCTAGCCCGTCATCTCAAAATCGATCAAGAAACCCAGCCTCGTCCATTGCAAAACATCTAATGATGAGTGGTCATCAAATTGACCCAAAATCAGCCTTTAGAGTTGTGACATGTCATCAAAACCCACATACACACTCAAACTACTCGAAGCTATCTTGATTAGTCGGAAAAGTTCAACCTAATGTGTTCAAAAACAACTGTATGTTGGTTGACCTTTGTTTACCATGGTTCTAGTGAGTGAATGTCATGCTAAATAAGAAATTTTGATCTTATCTTCAAAACTGTATTTACACAAATAACATGTTGCTTGTCTGTGACTGAGGAGAAAGCACGAAATGGTACTATCTCACAAAATATGTCTTCTCATTTCTCTGTTCATATTTATCAAAGGGAACCACTGTTTTGTATTGCCTTTAAGTTAAAAGCAATAACAACAGAGGTAGATAGACTGGCGAGCAGTGGAATCTAGGAAGTGCATTTCATTCCATTCGGGAATTTTCAGTTGAATATACCTGTATTCCAGAGTTGATATTTATTTCGAGATTAGAGAGAATATTACCATTCTCAATCTGTACTGAATAGCTAATTAGATAATGTGATTGTATTTGAAGTAAACGGTACTGAGTTCCAGAATAGATAACCACTTCCAGCTGACATGTCCTGAATATCTCGGCTAGTCATCAAATATTACTCCTGTTACCCACAATGGAGTTAAGGCAGATGACTAGCATTCCCCAATCTTCTCTGTCGTAGACCTTCCTTTCTAGTTCTTTCCACGTGTTGTTCATTGTTCTAATGTCTATCTCCATTTCTCGGCATTATGTGTTCCTTGGTCGTCCTCCTTTTCGTTGACCTTGAGGATTCCAAGTGAGAGTTTGTCTTGTGATGTAACTGGGTGCTTTCTTCAATGTGTGTTTAATTCACTTCCACCGCTTCTTGCTGATTTCCTCCTCCACTGGGATTTGGTGTGTTCTCTCCCACTACAGATTGTTGCTGATAGTGTCTGGTCAACGAATCTGATGTATTTTGCGTAGACAACTGTTAATGAACACATGTATCTTCCGGATGATGGCTTTCGTAGCTCTCTAAGTTTCCAACCCAAGCAATAGAACCGTTTCGACATTTTTACTGAAAATTGTGACTTTTGCGTTAAATGATAGTTGTTTTGAGTTTCAGATGTTCTTCAGTTGTAGATATGTAGCCGTTGCTTTGTCGATCTACACCTTCACAATATTTGCTCATAAGTCCACGAATTATATGATCTCAGTTGAATAATTCAAACAGTTTTCCTTTTAACACAAATCAATGAAAAATGGTGTCAAAAGAAAAAAAATTCAACAATGATACCACTACATTTTAGATACATTCCCTTAATTACACTCTATGCAACCTTCAAATTATTCCTCAGTCTAAATATGCCAATTCGTATGATTGTCCACATTTTATGCAATGATATGTTGAACAATTCTGTGAATAAAACTGTTGGGGACATTAGATCCCTAGAAATCACTTGATAAAGGTCCTTATTTCGAATTTTTTTTATGTTATCACGCATAAGTTGCTCAGTTGACCTTGAGATTACATTTCCCACTTGGAAAATCCTTGACTGTCATTGATTGATGTGTTATTTCAGTACGCTATTTTTGTTTCTCTCCCAAGGACGTTTCTATCATGTATAAATAAACACGATTTGTGTGCTTGTCAACCTCATATTTTCTGGGTGCTTATAGAATACATTATCTACGCTTTATCAAGACTTCTTGTTATAGTTAGCCGGGCTTGGGACAAACGAATTAGAATAGTCTTAAGTGTCACCGGATCATTTGTCTTCACTCTCGTTTACCACCGAGTAAGGTGAACTCTTATTTGGCATTCAAGCATATCAATTGACGAACAGGTCAAAAACTTTTGAATGAATCAAATCCTGGATTGAAACATACGTGTTTATGCATCTCAATAACACTTAAAATTATCGATTTTCTTTCTAGTTTATTGAAGATTTGTAGCCTTCCAAAACGGAAAAGATACAGGCCACAGAATGAAACGATTATCTAATATGTGATTCAAAATAATTTTAAATTTGAGCCTACTTTTACTTCTACTATCAGTTCATGTTTATTGATTGTGTTTCGTGTGAACTGAATTTTTTTAAATTGATTCTATTTTTAAATTGAAAAGTTTTGAAACAAATTAGAACTGTTTTCTGATAGTTATGAATTTTTTAAATTCACAACAGAATTACCCATACCAAGTAAGTAATAATCTGTAATAATTTTTTTTACAATTAGAGTTATGGAGATTAGTGTTTGTACACATTGGAATCATTAATCAATCAGTGTTAGACTAACAGCATTAGAAACCTGAAATCACTAGACGTCCGTTTCATCTTGGTATTGGACTCATCGGTGGTTTTGCGCATCCACTACTCCTGCTACTTGCAGGATTCGGATCTAGGACCTTTGGGCTTGCTCGTGAACACTTAACTTTGTCAGATAACTCTAAGTTCAATAGCAATAAAATAATCATTATAAGGTTGTCGAGATTGTGGACTTTCATTGAAATCATGAATCGATCAATGTTAGATCACTATCAGAAACCTGGAGGCTTTAGAATGTCTTTTCGTTATATCATGTGACTCATCAACAGTGCGCATCCATGAGCCAGCTGGCGGAACTCGAATCCAGAACATTCGGTCTCACCATTGAGTCAGCATCCAACGATGCTAATGTCTCATTCAATTAATCCAAGATATTGCTGTGTGTTCGATGGTTAACTGTCATCGACTGGATTATGAAGACGTCGACATCTGGAGGAAAGCACGGTATCAACTGGACAGTTAGGACGCAGCTGGACGATCTGGACTTCGCAGATGATCTGACTCTTCTGTCGCACAAATGCAACAACAAATGCAAGAAAAGACGACCAGCGTAGCAGCAGCCTCTGCAACAGCAGGTCTCAACATACATAAAGGGAAAAGCAAGATTCTCCGATACGACACAACATGCGTCAACCAAGTCACTCTTCATGGAGATGCCTTGGAGGATGTTAACACCTTTACATATCTGGGGAGCATCATCGACGAGAAAGGTGGATCCGATGCAGATGTGAGGGCACGTATTGGCAAATCAAGGGCTGCATTTCTACAGTTGAAAAATATCTGGAACTCCGACAAATTTTCAACCAAAACCAAAATCAGGATTTTCAGTTCAAATGTCTAGACAGTTCTACTGCATGGAGCGGAAACTTGGAGAACTACGATAAGATACAAGTGTTTATTAACAGCTGTCTACGCAAAATACTGCGGGTTCGTTAGCCAGACACTATCAGCAACAACTTACTATGGGAGAGAACAAACCAGATTCCAGTGGAGGAGGAAATCAGGAAGAAGTGGTGGAAGTGGATAGGATACACATTACGAAAAGCACCTAACTGCGTTACAAGATAAGCCCTCACATGGAACCTCAAGGTGAAAGGAAAAGAGGAAGGCCAAAGAACACATTACGCCGAGAAATGGTGAAAGACGTGAGAAGAATGAACAAAAACTGGAAACAACTAGAAAGGGAAGTCGAGGACAGAGTTGGTTGTAGAATACTGGTGGGCGGACTATACTCCATTGGGGGTAACAGGCGTAAGTAAGTAAGTAAGACCATGGTTAACTGTCCCATGACTGATATGATTGAAATCCACTGGTCTCAGAGCTACAGCAAGAAGCCATCACCTTAACGTCGTTGAATGCCGACTCATAGGTCAAGAGGTTAAGGGCTTACGTGCAAAGCTAGACGTTCTGAGTTTGGTTTCGGCCTAACGGGTTTTTGGTGCTCATTGCTAATGAGTCCTATGCAAGGATGAAACAACCATCCAGTACTTCTTCATTTCCAATCATAGTCGAGCACTGATCGGTTTATGATTTCAACGTTACATTGTTTACCGATTGAATCTTGAACATTTGAAATCACTAACTTACAGCATACTCTATTTATTAAACATACTTTGTGAAATAATTTTTTTACTACGTATAAAAATGTCATTTAATAGTGAATGTTTAATTTCCAGTTCTATAAATGTTTTCTAATCAATCTCTTTATAATGAAATACAATAATCTTGAAATTACCTTTAACACAGTTTTAACCTTTGACATTTTCTAGTTTCATTTTCATGTTATGGCGATCTTTGTTTTATACTGAAATCATGAATCAGTTTTAAAGCACCGGATGGCTGTTTCATCCTAGTATGGGACACAATGGCAGTGAACACCCACGATGCCTGCTACGGAAATCGAACTCAGGACCTTCCGGAGGAAATTCTCGGAAGTCTGTTGAGAAGCTCTTAGGATATTCATCCAATATCCTAAGAGAATTATTGGTCAATTCCTATTGGTTAGTTCCTACTGGTCACTTTTATGATCGTCCTAGATATCAGTGTCACGTGCTCCAATCTTGTTTCTTATTGGTTGTCCTGACTATCAATGTCATTTCAAATGTTGCTTCCCATTGGTCGTTTTAACTATCAATGTCACAGACTTCGATGCTGTTTCTCATTCGACATAAGTGTATAAATACGCATTATCTGTAGCGATTTACGACCAGGACCAGGACCCGGTCCCGAACCCCTTGTCCGGGATCCTGATTCTCTTCTGGATTCGGACCTCGCACTTCCTGAGTGCTTGTAGATTACAGGTTCTACTTCATATCACGTCTTCTTATTTTTACTAAATATAGGGGTTGGGATAATCGGATTTGAGTAGCATGTTGTGTCGCCGGATCCTCGATCCTCGCTCTCGTTTTCCGACTACGTCAGCTCGTAATAGCTCAAGCATATCAAAACGACGTGTTACGTACAGGCGTAACAGTAGCTGTGACGAGTGGAGTTCAACTGTATCGGGTGTTGGCAGTAACTATCGAAAACATTTGGGTGAGGTTTTGCAACAGATTAATGTTAGACAATAACACTCTTTAGATACCTGCTCAGTAGTATGGAGGTTAGGCTCTCGTGCGGGCAATCGAATGTTCTTGACACAATTTCGTGAATGCGCACTGTTGATGAGTCTGATACAAAGAAAAAACTAGTGTCCAGTGCTTCTAGGTTTCTGATGATAGTCTAACAATGATTAATTTATGATTATAATCTAATTTCGTAGTTAACTGTGACGTGTATACGTGGTTAATGAGTTAAACTCCTTTGCACGTTTCAGCCAATACATATTCAACTGAGTTATGAACTGATTCTGAAAAATTGACTAAACATAATAATATTTTTAGAATAATAAACGTTTCTTTATTTATTTTGAGTATATTCACAATGAAAACATTTTTCTCCCCCATAAGTCACTGAAAAACAAGGACCATGTAAGTAAATCTTGTATGTTTTTACATTTAAAACTTGATAGATTTTATATTTTTGTTCAGTAACTGAGTAAAGTAAAGTTTTATGTAAACGAATTTCTAAAATACTCATTGAAATCATAAACGGATCAATATTGGACCACTATTAGAAATCTGGCTGGAAGTACTGGACAGTTTGTCCGTCTTACTATGAGATTCATTAGCAGGATGCCTCCATGACCTTGCAAGCAGGGATCGAACCCAGGAACTTCAGTACGGTGTGCAAATGCTTAACCTCTCTTGACTATTGGTTCAGCATCCAGTGGTGTCGTCGTTGTCTAACTCCAACTAGTCCACGATATCGAGTGACTATCATTCATTATATTAAATGAGTAACTATTTCACACCTCAGCAGTGCGCTTCCACGACTCCTACCACTGGCTGAATTCAAACCTTAAAACTTTGATCTTGCATACGAACTACTGACCTCTGCACCACTGGGCCGGCATCTAATCCAAAAGAGTGAAGGTTTTGGGTTCGAAATCTGCGAGTAGCAGGAGTCATGGATGCGCACTGTTGAAGAGTCCCATATCAGAACCAAATGGCTTTCCGTCGATTCTAGGTCTCTAAAGACAGTCTAAAAATGATCAGTTCATAATTTCAGTAATTAACAACAACCTCTGAAGTTCTAACTGATAAATCAGAACTGTTGTTACGCTGAATTTGTGACGATTTTAAAGTTTTCAAATCTTGGAATTTCCAATAATCTATTTTTTATTGTAGATTTGTAGAGGTTATTGAATTTTATTCATTTTATTATTTCTCAATAAAATGGTTTTTAAAAATAATCGATGATTTGGTTCAATTTGAAATCGTATCGATCATCTTTTTTGTTGATATTTTCGACCAAAAATTTGATTATCCTGGTTAGCGTATGGATACTTTTTTGAGGATAGCATCGATTTAGAGCCATTATGATACATGTTTGCATAGAATAAATGGAATGAAGTCTTGAACGCCAGTTTCGTTCTATTTGGTGTTCATCAGCTGCACGTGTACCTGTATCTCAGATACGATGTTCATTCTGGGGTAAATCAAATCATTTCAAGATGAACTAAATCTCAGATCTGTAGCATATAACTAAATAGTTAACTGAATAATGCTGGATAAGTTTGGGATGCAGGTACATCTGGCTGACGAGTTCTGAAAAGGACGAAACGTGCACCCTGAATTCTACTGTTAACTATCATTATTAACTGACTTTTGCACTTAACTATAAACTTCAGTGGATAGTTGTTGAAAAGCAGTGTTTCAGTCAAGAGTTTAACATCGTCTTCAAATGTATCTGTAGTGAATATTTTGTATTCTGTTGAAGAGGTATTTTATTCAGCCTCTCTTATGTTATACCGAACAAAAGCTATGGACATTTTGTTGACTATCTAGTTCAAGTCGGACTCTCATAACTTCATAGTTTTATAGTTCCATCCTCGTGTTCGACTCAGCACTATGTTTAACAATGACAATCGGTCTTTACTTTCTCTCTGCATAAGTCAGTCAGTAAGACATCATTCTGTACATGTGTGAGTTTATCCAGTAACTGACAGAAGATAGATTACAGTTTTATTTTAATATCGGATAAAACTGAGTCATTTCAAGTGATCTCTCATATACATTCATCAATTTCAAACAGAGTTCGATCCTGTCTCCAACATACAGTATATATCATAGGAATCTGAACCTTTGGCCTTAGTTTATTTGTCCAAAAGAAGTTTCACCACAACCGTATTCCTTCTCTGACCTTCACTGACACTAAGTGAATGATCCTATCTCATTATGATCAGTGTTATTTTCATCTGTTATATTTGTTTGTAATTTTATTCGCCTCTTTCCGTTTATATTCTTCACTATCTAATTGTTCACGCAATTCTTATTACGTAATTCTAATAGTGTTTTGTGATTATTACTGCAAAACTTATTCATCCAAGTTTAATCTACTACTTCTAATGTTGAACTTTTGACAAAATGGACTTTTGTGATTGTATTTTCGGGCAGAGGTTTTGGAGGTTTGTGTTTTCTACACATTTGAAAGAATCAATCAATCATTGTTAGACTACCATTAGAAACCTGGAAGCACTGAAAGATGGCCGTTTCGTCCTGGTATGGGACTCATCGGTGGCAGTGCACATCCACGACTCCTGCACGTCGCAGGATTTGAACCCGGGACCTTCGGTGTTGTGCGCGAACGCCTAACCATCGAACCACTGGGCTGGCGGCATCCAGCAGTGTTAATGTCTAACTGTGATTGGCCTAGGGATTTTGGGAGACCTCACCCATTTTTATTTGGTAGTTACTGCCTACATCCGGTAGGGTTGAACTCCTCCATTGGTCACGTCTTCTCAACTAGAACTCCGAGAATTTCCTCACGAAGCTAGCACTGTTACGATATTTTCGGGCAGAGTTTTTGGAGGTTTGTGTTTTTACACATTTGAAATCATCAATCAGTTGTTATTGTTATTGTATTTTATTATACTTATTACTACTACTGTGGTGCGAGCTGATGGCCGAGTTCCACAGCCCGGTGGACAGGGAGGAAGCGTTGCAGAAGTTCCGGTTGGGGAGGTTGTCGGCCGATGGTGACCCACTGGTGCTGGCTGTAGAGCTTACTAGGTTGCTGCGCCGTGCGTTGCCGAATATCGATCAGGAGTCGGAGGCACAGTTGTTGGCGTCGCAATTTATCGAGTGTGCCTGCCGCCGTGTCACAGCAGCTGAGACTAGTAAATGAAGCGCAACCTATGGATATCGGTGAACAGGCGAAGGTGGCTCGTCAGCTGATGACACGAACAGTAGCTCCGATCAGGGTGGGGAAAGCTGACTCCAAAGTGGGACGGACCGTACGTTATCATGGAGAGACGCGGCGCGGTGTACACGATCCGGAGAGAAGACAACGAGAAGCATGTAAATGCCAGTCAACTGCAGAGGTGATTTCAAGATTATCAAGCGTGTGAGTTACGGAAAGCACCAAAGAAGACAGCGATACAGCGATCAGAAAGACTACGACGACAGTTTGTTAAAAGGGGGACGAGTGTGGTGCGCGCTACTTATAAGTAGTATATGACGCGAGTAAAAACGTAATGTCTGGCAGTAGAAGATGGGGGAAGATCAAGAAAGTAAGAGTGGGAACACAATGGAATTTGTATGGAACGCATGAATAGTGAAATTTCAGACAACGGATTGATGATGGATTGAAGATTTGCAAATTAACGGTTACGATATGGTTTTCCTATTTTACCAATTAACTCTGTAATTGGCGATAAATACAATTCGCTTGCCCTCACCTGTGTTCTCCTTCACTACACTACTAGTACACCGGTCTTTCTACTAACAACCTTTGTACTTTTACCAGTCATCTGTAGTTACGTAACGCCTACTTCACATTGTGATCACTGACTCATAATAAATTGCCTTGATTGGTTTAACAATTTCAAATGAATATTCATGTAAATTATTAGAGTGTAAAGCTTGATGACAATCTAATTGAAAACAACCCTATATTATTCGCTTATTGTCTGTGTTCAGTCTAACAATCAATGTTGACCATGATATAATATCATATACACATGTATACACATTTATCTCCTTTGAATTATTTATATTTCAGTTTCAGTTAGAGATGATAGAAGTAAGTGATATGCACAAATACTCAAAACACTTAATGACTTCACTGATAATCAAGTATCAGTGTAATTTACACAACGCAGAATAAGAGCACAAAGACTGATCATTACCAAAAACTACATTCATAGACTTATTCTGAACACACACACACAAACGCCTATCGAAGGCAATGCATGAAGATTACGCAATACCTTGGATCAATTAAAGTTAACGCTGTTAGATGCTACTTCAGTTGTGAACAGGTTAAGAAGAATTCAAACTCCTAGGTTTGATTCATGAGTATGGATGTCATGGATGCGCACTGCGGAACGGCCGTCCACTGCATTCAGGTTTCTAATGATGGTCTAACAATGATCAATGCACTGTTTCATTGAATTAGGAAAGAGCATCAAAGTCTGTGACATCGACAGTTTAGGACAATCAATAGGAGAGAAGATTTGAAATGACATTGACAGTCCGGAAGACCAATAAGAGACAACATTGAAGTATTTGACTTTGACAGTGAAAACGATCATAATTTTGATCAATAGAAATCGACCAATAGGATTATACTTCTAAAAATAGTACTCTTAGGATATTTGATGAATATCCTGACAAATCCTAAGAACTACAGTTGTTACAATGGAAAAAAACTGGATGGCCATTTCGCCCTGGTATGAGCCGCATCCAACCCTGTCCGTTGTAGGCAATAACTACTGATGACTATGGGTGAGGTTGAGCAAAATCCTTAGACTGATCAGAGGTAAACATGAATACAGTTGGATGCCGGCTCAATGGTTCAGAGGTTAGATGTTCACGTGCAAGACCGGAGGTCCTGAGTTCGAATCCTGCAAGTAGCAGGAGTTGTCGATATGCACTGTTGATAAATTCCATAGCAGAAAGAAAAGACCGTACTTCAGCAGTCCAAGCTTTTCACTAGAATTCAAACTCCTAGGTTTTATTCATGAGTGTGGGTGTCATGGATGCGCACTGCGGAACGGCCGTCCACTGCATCCTGGTTTCTAATGATGGTCTAACAATGATCAATGCACTGTTTCAATGAAATAGGAAAGAGCATCAAAGTTTGTGACATTGACAGTTTAGGACGACCAATAGGAGAGAAGATTTGAAATGACATTGACAGTCCGGAAGACCAATCAATAAGAGACAGTGAAAACGATCATAATTTTGACCAATAGAAATCGACCAATAGGATTATACTTCTAAAAATAGTACTCTTAGGATATTTGGTGAATACCCTGACAAATCCTAAGAACTACAGTTGTTACAATGGAAAAAAAATGGATGGCCGTTTCGCCCTGGTATGAGCCGCATCCAACCCTGTCCGGTTTAGGCAATAACTACTGATGACAATGGGTGAGGTTGAGCGAAATCCTTGGACTAATCAGAGGTAAACATGAATACGGTTGGATGCCGGCTCAATGGTTCAGAGGTTAGATGTTCGCGTGCAAGACCGGAGGTCCTGAATTCGAATCCTTGAGTTGTCGATTTGCACTGTTGATAAGTTCCATACCAGAACGAAACGGCAGTCCATTGCTTCCAGGTTTCTAATGATGGTCTAACAATCAGTGTGATTCATGACTTATACTAAAGCCAGATATTATAGGATTGAATCTCAATCTCTCTTGGTATTTTCACAGTTATTTATACTACCCCTTAGATTCATCAATTTTATTGTTAAAAAAATCGAAATCGAGAGAAATTTATTTCTAATTTTTAAAAATTCAAAAATTCAATAGTAAATTTGATTTATTCCATGGTGAATGTTAACTTATACTACTACTAATCGATCGATACAAGGTTCACGACGAAGTGTAAATCGTAAGTGAAACAATCATACCAAATTACCATTAATTTTGGAAAATTATTTTAAATTAGGCACAAAATTTTGGTTTTTAAACCTACAGGCTTTTGATCATAAAATTGTACATTGAACAGACCTAAAATGTGCAAAACATTGGATATGGTATCATCGATGTTGTTTCGGTTCAATTTTTAAGGTGTATTGATTTTCATAAACAGAGCTAGATAGAGACTAGTCACTCAGTTAATTAGTTACAACGTAGAAATTCTTACGTTCGTACATCATTTCTAGTTGTCATATCATGTTACCTCAGAGATGCAATTGTCAATCCAAATCTCATAGTAGTAGAGGTAGTAGAAGTATTCGCAGTAATTAGCAGTGATTAGGGTCCGAAGATATTATTCAAGACGTATAATCTGTTGAGATAAACTTAAAAAGAGGAAGATAAAGTTGTTGAACAATACGGAGGATTAGGATTTGAGAGAAGCTAAAGAATGGATGCACCTGTGGCATTGCAAACAGTTTTGAACCATGTCATTCAAGGTATCTATCTAATCATTGATTACTATCATCTCACGGACTTAGAGGGTAATAGTGGAATCTAGGACGAGCATTTCGTTCTGTTTGAGATTCGTCAGCCGAATGTAACTGAATCCTAGAGTTGATGTTCACTTCAAATGCCATCATGTTACCCACTTAACTAATGGGTCCAGATAGCCACCTACCTAGCATGTGTGATGGGATAAAGTTTAATTATGTTAAATAATTAAAACTCGAATTGATCCTACCCTATTTTCATTATTAATAGATGTTATGACTAATTAAAACAGATTATTAGATTTAATTTATCAAAGTTTGATTGAACTTAATATTTAGAAGTCACATGAATCGACTTAATGATTACACTATCTATATTCATTGACAATCCCATGAAACAATATGAATACTTTTTCTCTCTTGAATGAAATAGGAAATCTGAATACGTTTTAAGGAGAATAATTTGATCATGGCTACAGTTACAGACGTGGGATAACCGAGTAAGCAATGCTGTCGTTAGGAAACGAGTACTAGGTAAGGATGGCAGATCAATAGATGAAGTGGTGAAAGTTCATCAGTTGAGGTGGTTAGGACATATGTTACGTATACCTAACCACCGACTGCCTCGACAAGCTATGTTTTGTGGTGTAGGAGTCGGTTGGAAGAAAACTAGGGGTGGCCAATCCAAAACAAGGCAGAAATCCATGAAGTCATTGACAAGTGGACTGAGTCATGTTGATAGATGTAGACCACGTGGTTGAGGTCCGTGAGACGTAGGTCACCAATGGTTGGAGACCTTGAACGACATGGCTCAAAATCGTTTGGAATGGCGCAGGTGCATCCACTCTTTGTGCTCTCTCAAATCCTAATCTTCTGAATTCGTCAACACCTCTACCTTTGTCTTTCTAACCTTATCTCACTGAATTATATTTCTTGAATAATATCTTCGAACCCTACTAGTCTTCTTCATTATCATTAATACCTCTCTTATGTCTATCACTATAGGATTTCATTTGACATTTGAGTCTCTGTGTTAATGTGGTGTGGCAACCTGAACTTATTTCTGTACATACGTACGAAGTTCTACGTTGCAACTGACTGACTGATAGTTACCAACGAATTGCATTTGGAATATGACAGAAAATTACAGAACAGCCGAAAAGAGAGAGAGCTGAACAGCTATTTCATGCTAGTATTAACTAATCTCACATGACTGGATGCACCGTAGATTGAATCCAAAACTTCCGAGTCATTCAACAAGATCTGAACCTGAAAAATCACTTATTAAAAAATGTCTTATAACTAATAAACGTTTTGTTATTTTTTTAGCCAAATTAATTTGTACACAAAGTAAGAAACATGGTTTATTGATTATTGGTGTTTATTTTGAATATTCTAAGAAACGTAATTTTTATATGATGATCTACTCAATCATAATTGATGGCGAAGCTTTGAAAGATGTAGAAACCTCTAAATATCCGGACAAATTCATTGATAAACAAGGTGGATCTAACGCCGATGTAATGAAACGGATTAGAGAAGTTAGGGTAGTATTTCTATGTGTGAAGAACACCTGCGAATCAGAACAGCTATCAACAAACACCAAAGTCACAATTTTCAATACAAATGTCAAGATAGTATGGAGTGAAAACTTGGAGAACTATGAAAGCCATCATCCATGAAAGACAGGTGTTCATTCAGAGTTTTCTGTGCAAAATACTGCAGATACATTGGCCAGACATCATCAGCAACAACCTGTTGAGTGAGAGATACAAATCGGATTCCATATAAGGAAGAAATTAGGTAAAAACGTTGCGGGTGAAAACGACATACGGTTCTCGAACTAACCAACTGTACTACGAGTCTAGCATTAAATTGGAATCCTAAGGCCTGAAAACAAATCGGAGCACACTGCGTCGAGAATCGAAGAGAGATAAGGAAAGAATGAATAGGTATTTGGATAGAACTAGAAAAAAAGGTATAGGACAGAATACGGTAGGGAATGTTAGTTGGCATTCTATACTCCATTGTAGGTAACAAGCGTTAGTAAGTAACAAGGTAATGCTCTCGATTAGACAGTATGTTGACTATCACTTATAAGTTGTTGAAATGATTGTCAATTTTAAGCAAAGCATAAACCACAGGTATAGAGTTATGAACTTTGTTGAGTTTCTGTCACGTATGCACGTAAACACGTCAATTTGATATGCTTGAACTATATTACGAGTTCATTCTAGTCATTGAACGAAAGCGAGGATCGATGATACGGCGATACGACATGCTACTCTAATCCGATTGTCCCAAACCCCCTACTGACTATAGGAAGAAGACTTGATATGAAGTAGAACATGTATTCTACAAGCATTCAGAAAGCACAAAGTTCGAGCTCAGAAGAGAATGAGGATCCTGGACTAAGGATCCGGGTCCGGGTCATAAAACGTTACAGATAATGCATATTTATACAGTTAGGTCAAATAGGAAACAGCATCAAAGTCTGTGACATTGATAGTTAGGACAAGCAATAGGAATTGACCAATGGAATTAGACTTACAAACGATTATCTTAGGATATTGAATGAATATCCTAACAGTTTCATTGAATTTATGCAAAACCTATCAATGCTAGATCGCAGCTGGAATCTATACTACTGATAATTACTATGTACTATGTGAGTGAGTTCTCAAATTTATAGTGAGATGTGACCAGAACAGTTACTTACCAAAGACAATGGATGATAGTTATTCAATATTGATTGAAATTCGACATTAACACTAGTGAATACCGTCACAGACGTCTAGAAGTTAAGGGTTTGCACGTGTGACCGAAGAGTGTAGGTTCGATTCATGAGCGCAATGGTTCATTGATACGCCTTGTTGATGAGCTCAATATTAAGACGAAAAGGTTAATCAGGTTTCCCAGACTTCCAATAGTCAGTCAGTCATTTACAGCATAGAACTTCGTACTTACGTACATAAGTTCAGGTTGCTAAACCAAATTGGCATAGAGATACAACTTTCAGTTCAAATCCCACAGAGGTAGAGATAGTGGAAGTATTAGCAGTAATGGAAAAGATTAGGGAGCGAAGATATGATTCAAGAAGTATAATTCAGTGAAATAAATTTAGAAAGAGAAAGAGAGAGATGATTAGGAGTTCAGATGCTTAGAATTTCGTAGAACACAATGAGTGGATACACCTGCGCCATTGCAAACGATTTTGAGCCATGTCATTCAAAGTCTCTAACCATTGGTGACTATCGTCTCGCGGACCCCAACCACGTAGCCTACATCTACCAACATGACTCAGTCCACTTGTCAGTGACTTCATGGATTTCTGCCATGTTTTGGTTTGGCCGCCCCTAATTTTCTTCAAACCTACTCCTACATCGCGAAACATCGCTCGACGAGGCAGTCTGTGGTTAGGCTTACGTAATACATGTCCCAACCACCTCAACTGTTGAATTTTCATTACTTCATCAATTGATCTTACATCCTTACCTAGTAGTCGATTCGTAACTATAGCATTGCTTACTCAGTTTTCCCATGATAAACGAGCAGTGCTTCGAAGACATCTATGATCGAATACTAATAACCTACCAATATCCTCAACTCCTAGCGGCCATGTTTCGCAGTACAATCATCTTTTGGTTAGCAATCAAGCTCTCTGTATCCATGCTGAGATTTCGTCACACACCAGGCCATCAGCACTGATGAGACTAATTTAAATAGTAGTCTAACATTGATTGTTTCATGGTTTCAATGAAGCATGATTATCAATCAGTGTTAACGATACTTTGTTCTGAATGTGTATTCTAATGACTATATCAAATTACATTATGGAATGACGTAAGCGTTTTATTAGGTATTTGATTCAAAACTATTTATTGAATGATAAAATACCAAACAGAAGAAATTTATAAAGCAAATACAATTATTTGCATGAACATGATGATACTGTTTGTGTTTTCAAACATTACTACTTTATAAATCATTACAAACTATAAGAACAGATGGAAGCTGTTCTGGTGTAGACAGTAACTACCGAAGACAGTGTATGAGGTTGCTCAAGACCGTGAATTGATTGATTAACGTCGTTAGATAGTGGTTCGGTGGTCCAGAGGTTAGGCGTTTGAGAGTAAGATCGAAAGTCTTGGGTTCGAATCCTGTGGGGTGCATGAGTCGTGGATGCGTACTGCCACTGATGAGTCCCACACCAAGGCGAAACGTCCCTACCGTGCTTCTTAGTTTCTTGTGGTGGTCTAACAACGTTTTATGACCAGGACCAGGACCAGGACCCGGTCCCGTTCCCGGATCCCTATTCCGGGATCCTGATTCTCTTCTGAACTCGGACCTCGTACTCTCTGGATGCTTGTAGAATACAGGTTCCACCTCATATCAAGTCTTGTCTTATTTTTACTCAATATGGGGGTTGGGATAATCGGATTTGAGTAGCATGTCTTGTCGCCGTATCCTCAATCCTTGCTCTCGTATCTCGACAAAGGTGAACTCGTAATAATTCAAGCATATACTGAAATGACGTGTTTACGTGCAGGCGTAACACAAAATTACAGATACACCGTGTTGATGCGTGTTTATCTATAATACGAAACCTAAATTAAGCAGGGTTTCTCAGTGACTACTTTCAGTCAACAAGCTAACATTTAACATAGTGTACGAATCTTTCAAGCTTGTGGTCAAATTGATCGATAAAATTCGGTCATCACCAAGACGATCTTGATATATACAATATTGGTGATCAGTCAGTTACAGACATGTTCATTGAAAATAACTTGATTTGTAATTAAACACTCAAGAAAACCAAAAAGGGTTTTTTAACAAACTGACATGAAATATTTGACCTTTACAGAATAAATTACCTGACACATAACTCTTCAATTTATTCAATCACACTGTAATCATATTCATACAAACTTGTATTATTGATTTGATAGGAGATGGAGTTATCAAATGTTGTGAGTTCAGAATAGTTTGCATTGACTCTTTATTGTATTTTACTAACAAGTAATTATCAAAAACTCCTTATTTTGAATTGTTACCTTGAATGTGAATAGAAACTAGTAGATTCAACTGACAAGTTATCAAATAAGACAAAACACACATGCATCCTGTATGCCATTACACATGTTAATTGTAATTCTAATGATCATATCAAGGAGATGCGCATAGGATGCATATGGGCAAACATAAGAAAAGTGACTGATCAACAATCAACAGCAGTCGTAATTATCGATTGGGATTGATCAAATAATCAATAAAAATGTAGGACATTTTTAAGATTTTATGAAATAAGACAACCATTGATTATCATGCTTCATGAGGTGTTTCTTTTCATGTTGTCTTTATTTGCGTTGAATCGCATTAGCAGTTAGTTGTAGCAAATGACAAAATAAGAATAAATCGCGAGCTTTCTCTACTTATGAATGATAGAAAATTATTATCGATGGGAAGGAACGATGATGTGAGATGTGGAGATATTATCTTCAGACTGAAGGGCAGCATTTTTATAAGTGAAGAACATCTGGAACTCAAAACAACTGTCATTCAACGCACACGAATATCACAATTTACCGTACAAATGTCGAGACTGTTCAGCTGTATGTGGGTGGAAACTTGAATAACTACGAAAGCTATCATGAACAATAAATAGTTGTCAACGCAAAATACTTCAGATCCGTTGGCCAGACACCATCAGCAACAATATACTGTTGGAAAGAATCAATCAGATTCGAGTGGAGGAGGAAATAAGGAAGAAGCGATAGAAGTGGATAAGACATGTGTTGAGGAAAGCACCCAACTGCGTCACACAACAAGCCACCATTGGGAACCCTCAAGCTCAAAGGAAAAGAGGAAGGCTAAGGGACACATTACGCTGAGAAACGGAGACAGACATGAGAAGAATGAACAAAAATTGGACAGAAGGTTGGGTAGGGAAGTCCAGAATAGAGTAGGTTGTAGAATGCTCGTCGTCGGTTTTTACTGCATGGAGGGTAACAGGCTCAAGTAATCCTCCTCAGTGTCTTCAGAATTCGATATGCAAAACAGGTGGATTTTATTGGTAGTCTTCTTTCACATCATATCTTCAAAGCAGTTAGTTCGCTCAACAGATCTAAACCCGACACTTTTCACTTCAGCAATAACTTCTGGCTGATACGATGTAGCAAGTAGTATCCAGTTTATTAGAGCAACAATAAAAAAGTGCCTTAAAATCATGAATCGATCAATGTTAAACCACTGTTAGGAAGAGACCTGGAAGCACTGGAGGGTCGTTTTGTTCCTAGTGTCAAACCTATCAATAACGCTCATCTACTCATCACCTCATGTGGGAATCGAACCCAGGAGCTTCGGTCTCGCATGTTAACGCCTGACCGCTTGACCAGTGAGACGGCAATCACTACTGTTAATGTCTAACTTCTATGGGTTCATGATAGTGCGCGACCTCATCCAGTGTGTCCAGTGGGTAATTACCTTACCTTGTTTAAACTTTGAAAATTTTGCATGTTATTGACAATGATAATTACTGTTATTAATTCCTTTTATTAAATTCATTCATATTTATTTTCAAAATTACAGATTATGTAAATGAAGGTAAACTTGATTTAAAAAAAATTCAACAGAGTTATTATTATTATTATTTGTATTCATTGTTATGTTGGTGTTATGTTATGTTATAGATGTGATTTCGTTTTTCTGATTGGCAAGTACTTTTAGCAAGGAAGTTTTCTACGGCATAGAGCTGCTAATCTCATGCCCAACACTTTGGGCTTAAGAGTGGCAGTAATCCTAAAGCAGCGCCAGGTTGAGCTAGTTAAGTAAACCGGAACGACCATTCAAGAAGGAAATGAAAGTGAATTGGTTACCGACATTCAAGAACGGCGAAGCAGGTGGGTAGGGCATTAGGAAGAACTGTCAAAAGGACTAGTCCCACTGAATTCACTCAACAGCAATGCAACAGCATCTACGGACCTACCATTTAATGTTTTGGCCCACCGACAATTGAAGAGATCAGTATGGATATCAGATAAATAAAGAGAGTAAAAGCAGCAGGTCTATACAACATTCCAGCTCAGGCACTGCACATTTACTCCACATTCTTTTCAACCAATTTTGAGGTGGAGAACAAGTACCAACAGCTTGGAAGGAAGGATACCTCATCAAAATACCAAAGGAATGTCATTTCAGCAAGTGTGAGAACTGCAGAGGCATCACTCTTCTCTCAGTACCAGGCAATGTCTTCAAGAGGATGTTGTTAAACAGAATGAACGACTTCCTAGACGCCCAACTTCGAGACAAACAGGCTGGATTTCGTAAGGATCGATCATGTACCGACCAACTTTCAACATTACGGATCATTGTGAAACACCCAACTGAATGGAATCCACAAACTTTTTCAGAGTGAAGACTGGTGTCAGGAAAGTTTGCTTACTCTCAGGGTTTCTTTTTTAAGTGGTGTTCGACAGGGTTACAAAAACACCAACAACTGAGGGGAATTATGGGATACAGTGGACAAACTGAATGCAGCTGGACGATCTGGACTTCTCAGATAGTCTTCCTCTTCTGTCCCACACTTAACATAAAAAATACAAGAGAACACGGCAAGTTTAACAGCAGCATCTACAGCAGTAGGTTTCAACAAACACAAGGGTAAAAGCAAGATCCTTCGATTCAACACAACAAACACTAATCAAATCACACTTGATAGAGATGCTTTGCAGGACGTTTAAACCTTTTGCACATCTGGGCAGCATCATTGACGAACAAGATGGATCTGATTCGGATTTGAATGAACGGACTGGAAAAGCAAGGACAACATTTATATAGTTAAAAAAACATCTGCAACTTAAATACACACCCTTAACTAACTTCAATCTCAGATTGTTCAATACAATATAGAGCGGAAAACCTGGAGAACTGCGAAGGTCATCTTCCGGAAAATACAAGTATTTACTAGCAAGTGTCTGTACAAGACATCATCACATCATCATGTGAATGAGAACAAACCAGAATCTATATGAGAAAGTAATTAGGGCGAAGTGCTAGATGGAGATAGGACAAACATTGTGGAAATCACCCTACAGCCTCACAAGATAAGCTCTCACATAGAATCCTCAAGGCCGAAGAAAAAGTACAAGACCAGAGAACACATTAAACCGAATATTGGAGACAGACATGACAAGAATGAACAGCAGTTAGACAGAACTTGAAATGGAATCCCAGGACAAAGAAGGTTGGAGAACGGTAGTCGGTGGTCTATGCTCCATTGCTGATTACTGGTGTAAGTATATATATATATATATATATATATATATATATATTTGATCTCCTTCGAAAAGATTCACTCTTAGAAACAGTACAAATATGTTATCATATTAATAAATTAGTTGACTGAATAAGTTTTAATATCACTCTGGACATGATTTGTGTTTGTTTAAATAGATTGTGGCTTTCTATGTTCAATATTTCATTATTGTTACACGCTGGCACATAAACACGTCCGTTTGATATGCTTGAACTATATTACGAGCTCACCTTAGTCAGAAAACGAAAGCTACGATCGAGGATACGGCGATACGACATGCTACTCTAATCCGAATGTCCCAACCCTATTGAGTAAGAGAAGAAGACTTGATATGAAGTAGAAGAACATGTATTCTACAAGCATCCAGAAAGTACGAGGTCCGAGTTCAGAAGAGAATGAGGATCCTGGACTAATGATCTGCGTCCGGGTCATAAAAATTTACAGATAATGCGTATTTATACATTTAGGCCGAATAGGAAACAACATTGAAGTCTGTGACATTGACAGTTAGGAAGACCAATAAGAAACAACATTTGAATTGACATTGATAGTCATGTTGACCAATGGGAAACAACATTGAAGTACGCGACATTGATAGCTAGGACGACTATAATATTGACCAGTAGGAATTGAGCAATAGGATTAAACTTCCAAAAATTATTCTCTTAAGATATTTGATGAATATCCTAACAATCATAACTCTATATTCTTTGTGGTATGAATAGATTTTCAATACTGTCAATCATTTTTACTGAAATTAATAATATCAGTGTGTATGACAAAACAGATTAATCTCAATTCTAAGTGATTTTCGGTCAAATAATCATAAAATTCAGTAGTATATATATAATCTACCAACTTCAGCTAATGAAATAAATTGACATGTCTATACCAGTTGAAGAGATTATATCATATCATATCTGAACGTTAGATGCGCTAATCTCCATAGTTGGCTACTTCAGCAAACAGGCAAAAGGTAGAACAGGAAGTCTATCTGGCCACCGAACCCTCATAGAAATAAACTCATTTCCTGACCAATTCAGATAAATTCATCCTTTAGGATATTTTCTCAATTACCATCAAGTGACTTTCTTGTTCAACCAACCCATTTCTGATTGGTCGGCTGTCTGAATCATTTGTTTAGTCGAATTCTCTACTTCTGTATGTCATTCAAACAATACAAATAACATTCAATATTCAAATTTTCAATTATTTTGTTTGTTTGTCTGTTAATTTGAAAAATAATTGCAGGAATTCATGTTCAACGTTTCAATGGAAAAGTATTATTCTGGTCATTGTTGACATTGACTTGTGTGCGTTTAATCAGTTCAAGTTATTGGTGAACGAGATTTGTGATAAGACAGAGGAGGAATAAATGAAAACATTTGACAAAGAAGATTCTAGTTTTTTTTAATAAACTAATCACTAGAAAGTGATCAGTGTTACATTTTTTTTGCTATACGTCTTAGTATTGGTCGTTCAATTTACAATACGTTTTTACTTACTTATGCCTGTTACCCCTAATCGAACAAAGGTCATTGACCAGGGAGTTATTTCTTTGGGTTAGCGTTTTCTTAGCGAATTGGATTACTAGGGGGTTAGGTCATTTAAGGTCATGCCTAAAAGGGCTCCAGGTGGAGTCAATATACGATACGGCCATCAGCAAAAGCAACAGTAAATAGATAAGTGATGAGGTCTCTAACCATGGTGATAACTGGTGCTGATTCGAGTTTAACGTGGATAAGAAACAGTTTTACTGTCACAAGCAAAGTTCTAAAAAATCTAGATCAAGAATTATTTCACTGCGTTTCTCTTTAATAACTCGGTAACTTTGAAGAGTTAATACGTAATAAAAATACCGCTGTTATGTAAATTTTCTGGTACTTCAGATGACATCCTTCTGATTGGTTCAACAATAGAGATGTATTGTCCAATGAAATAATCTCAACTACATCCCAGTATAAATTGAAATCTTCCGTACTAACAGATGGGGACGTTAGATCCCCAGAACTTATTTCGAAAAAGTCCTCACTTCGGATTTTATCTTTTCGAGTATGGACTGATTAGTTGACCTTGAGGTAGAATTTCCCTGTTATTAATTGTTATATTATTTTAGTACGCTATTTTTGTGGCTCACTCAAGGACGTTTCTATCATGTATAAATAAGCTCGATTTGTGTGTTTGTCGACCTCGTGTATTCTGCATGCTTGTAGAATACACTTTCCGCGCCTTATCAAAACTTATTGATATAGTTAGCTTTGCTGGGGACAAACGGATTAGAATAGCCTATCGTGTCATTGCCTCATAAGTCTTCGTTCCGTTTACCATGTAAAGCGAACTCATAATATCATTCAAGCATATCAATTGACAAGCATATTAGAAAGGAGTCATCATTTATATTGAATAACTACTAGACTATATCACAAATGGATCGAATTTGGAATAGTTCAGTTTGAAGCAAACTATATTTCTACTGATTAGGCGTTTACTACAAGACTTAAAGATCCTTAGTTTGATTTCATATCAAGACAAAATAAATGCCCAATACTTGGAGATCTACATAAACTGACCAAACTGAGATCAGTTGATAATAAGAGCAATGCACCAATCAAAATAACCATCCTCATGTTTCAAACCATTTGTTTTTTTTTACGTGATCAAAACCAGATTTGCAAAGTAGCTACGAATTCATCAATCTTATTCGAGTTTCTCATTAGTTATTTACAAACATTTATCAAAGGAACCTATTGTAGTGAAGGAGAACATAGGTGAGGCAATGGGACTGTATTTAACGAAAATTACTGAGTTACTCAGTAAAATAGGAAAACCATATCGTAAATCGTTAATTTGCAAAATATCAGTTCATCATATCGAACTGGACTGTTCCTCTGTTGCAAACAACATCAATCCATTGTCACTATTCATGCGTTTCATACAAATTCCATTGTGTTCTAACTCTTCCTTTTGTTGATCTTCCCCCATATTATGCTGCCAGACATTACGTTGACACTCACGTCATATACTACTTATAAGTAGCTCACACCACACTATCATTAATAATAATGTTCGTAACATATTGTGAATGAATTGACTGATTACGGGACAGAAAACCATTTTAATATAAAATAAGGAAGAATGTGCAAGAAACATAACATTCAACTTTATAAATTCTGTCGTTTGTTATTTGGTTCTAATGCTCATCTATAACTCGCGCAAGCGACGATGTGAATCAGTGCTAACCGAGAACAATGAATGAGATTGTCCAATAACATGGATTGACTGTAGTTAGACATTTTCAGTGGTGATCGAGCCAAGATTGACTATATACTAATTACGAGCCCGCCACAGAGAAGATAAATAAATCCATGATAATGAGTATATTTGCTGGCGATTTTAGTGGTATCGAAAGAATACCGACAGCCTGCCAGAAAAGATGAGCTAAATTATAGAGATGGTGGAGCAAACAATGGCAGAAACATAAATAGAAATTTTGCGCGTCAAGAGTGTTATAAACAAAAAGAACAATATGAAACCGATTGCGTTCTCATCATAAAAGTATATCACTACACATGAGAACATTGTTGGATGCAGCTTCAGTGGTCTAGAGGTTGAGCGTTTGCTTGCGATACATCTAAGGCATATCATAAACTTAGTAACACACACACACACTCACACTCAAACAAGAGCAAATAAATGAGCAAATAAATGAGTAGATCAGTGGACTTGTCAATAATCCATCAGGAAGTAAAGGTTAATTAATTTGTGCAAAAGCTAGGATAAACCATAAGTATTCAACATATTAGTATACACACTACACTATACTACAAATCGCAAAATATTTTGAAATAGAAAGGTTGACCTTAGTTGAATGTTTAAGTGATTTTGCTTTGTCGATCTGTGCTTTCACATTTGCATCAAATACAAATTGCTGGTCAACGATGCTTCCCTGATATGTAAAGGTTCTTACGCCCTCCAAGGCATCTGTATCATGTGTGATTACATTGGTGCGTGTCATATTGTATCGAAGAATCTTGTTTTCCTCTTTATGTATGTTGAGACCTACTGCTGCTATACTGGTCGTCTTCTTTTGCATTTGTTGTTACGTGTGCGGTAGAAGAGCTAGTCTAGACCTTCCATCTCCGTCCTAGTTTTCCACTGTATACCGTGCTTCCTTCAAGATGTTGACGTCTTCATAAGTTAGTCAGTCACTAGGAGTAAGAGAAGGGGTGAGAGTAAGCAACCCTACCTGAAACCCGTATTCAATTGGAACCACGTGTCTGTCAGCTGTCCTCCGTGCACGATTTTGCACTGTAGTCCATTATAAAAATTCCATATGACGTTGCCCATCTCACGCACGCGGTAGTGTCAAAGAAGACTCCATAGTGTTGTCCCGTCCACACTATCGAAAGCTTTCTCTTAGTCAAGGGAGTTGGTGTAGAATGCTGCGTTCTGTTTAATTGACTGTCTCAGTCGGTACACGATTGACCTTTTCGAAATCTAGGCTGCTGATCTCGAAGTTAGGCGTCCACGAAGTCCTTCATTCTGTTTGCTTAACAATACCCTGTTGAACAGTTTGTCTGGTATTGACAAAAGAGTAATGCCTCTGTAGTTCTCAAACTTTCTGAGATGGCATTCCTTCAGTATTTTGATGAGCTATCCTTCTTTGCAGTCTGATGGTATTGATTCTTCATCCCAAAATGTGTTGAAAAGAATATGGATCAGTTGCGTTGCATATAATAGCTATTAGTTTTAAACTAACGTATTTGTTCAACTTCGGACGGTACAAACCTTCGGTTGGCTTTTCTTGTTACTCGGTTAAAAGAACTACAAACGTTGAGTTGAAATCTGATGGTTTTTCTTCAGTATCATAAACATCCACAATAAATACCAATGTTCTAGTACTTAGCAAGATTTTCTTGAAATTCGCTCAAATTCATAAGCTATTGTTGAAGTAGTCGATACGCAGAATCATATTTCGACACACAAGTCATGACCGTGAAGTCGAATTCTTAATCTCTAACTAAGCATCAGTATAAATAAACACGTCTATCACTCCAGTGGTTGCTAGAGTTTCTACAATAACAGATTCTGTCTATTTTTAACTTAAATTAGGCGGCGAAAACATCACTTCAGTCTGATTTTATTAGACAACAGACATAACAATGAAAACAACACATCATCTCTTATTTTCTCGAAGCATTGCCTTCCAGTTCATTTCCGACATGATAAACAAACGTTTTGTAAGCAGAATATTTTGCTTACTCTATCGAACTTAATTATGTTACGATAGATGAGTCGATTTACACCGTTTGACCTTGAAAATGTAACCTTGGCTGTGATTGGATAATTAACTATAAAAGATTTGTTGTCTTATGATTGGTTACATTTAATCAACGAAAACAGTTATATCGAAACTTGTCGTACAATGAATGTATAAATGAAACGACCTTGTATTTTAGAAAAAAAAATTTGTTTTTCAAATTGGTCAAGGTTTCAATAAGATTGTCAATTATTCAATAATGATCTGAATTTGTATACACTGAAGCAGTTCATTTAGAATTGAGATATTTTAATGATAAAACTAATCAAGATCCATTCCTGAATATTAGAAAATGAATAACTGAATTTCTAATCAAATACAGATTTATTAACTTGATAATTTTGTTCAACACGACAAATGTAGCAACGAATAATGCTGCGGTGTATACTACTTATAAAATGACTTACAAGTAGTATGCTGCGAAATGTCACCTGGAAGTTGTTAACAGAGAGAAAGAGTGTCAGTAAATCAAAGTGCACGCAGTGCATGATTATAGTACTTGAAAGATTAGAAAAGGTTTGAGAAAAGACAGTCAATGACGTGATTAGTTTGCATATATTTTGTAAAAAAATTGCATGGATTATTTGCATATTACAATATTACTTGATCAAACAAAGCGTAAAAAGGTACTAGCTGTTTACTAGTTATAGCCTAATTACTTTGACTGGCTAGGCATTTTGTTGCTAAAATCTTATCGACTCATTAATTTTCATCAATGTAACACGAAAATATATCTTGATTTAATTTGTTTTACTGTAACGTACCAAGTCAAGGACAGACGGAAGGACTATATATATCTATCAGTATTAGGAGAAGATATAGATTATTTACAAAGTATTACTTACTTACTTACTTACCTACGCCTGTTATCTCCAATGGAGCATAGGCCGCTGGTCAGTAATCTCCAGCCTACTCTGTACTAGGCTTCCCTTTCCAGTTCAGGCCATTTTTCGTTCATCATTCTCATGTCTGTCTCCGTTTCTCGGCGTAATGGGTTCCTCGGCCTTCCTCTTTTCCTTTGAC